GGTTGTAAATTACTTAAACCAAAATAAGGACTTTACATGACGAATTTGGTTACGAACAGAATGCCATACGAAGTAGAATCAAATGAACGAGTTACGGCCTCTATCTTAAGCATTTTCTTTTTCAACGCCGTACGTACGTATGTAGGTGGATTCGGTGCTTGAACAACAAGCAGTGGGCGGACGAACACGATTTTCTTCAGCGACCAGGCATATTTCTCACTCGGGAGATACGCAAATAAGCAAAATTGTCGCATTTAGGGCTCCGAAAATCCTCAAAAAATTGAAGAGTGGCCAGTAGAGAAAGGCGCTGTTTGTTTCGGAGATGTGATTGGACCTTACTTCTTTGAAAACGATAACGATGAGACGGTCGCTGTCAATTCGAAGCATTACAGTCGTAGGAGAATGAACTTTTTTTGCCTTCAATTGAAGAACACGACTTAAACAATATATGGTTTCAACAAGATTGGGGCTACATGTCACACCACACGAGCGAATATGGCTTTATTGCGAGAGAAACTTCCGAGCGCGTAATCTCTTGCTCTTGGCGATGTCAATTTTTTGTGGGGGCTACGCAAATATGTATAAGGCCAAACGTTATAATAAAAAGGTATTTTATAAAAAAAAACATATTTTGAAAGCATTTTTTTATACTTATTTTCGAAGCCGCGAAATGGATAACTCTGCACAAACCTATTCATACATATGAGATTTTTCATTAATTTCCCAGCAAGTCCTTTCTGTCCACACTTTACGTAGGCAGCCCTATGCCGGATGTTAGTTCCATATTCCCACTAAACTTCAGGCTCTTTACTTTTATTGCTTTTGCAAAGACAAACTTTGCGAAGAGAGTGAATTCTCTCAGTCAGTTGTAAAGTCAAATCAAGTACTTCTGACTGCGACTACGGCCATCTAAAAGTAAACAATAAATTCGACAACTCATGAGCACCAAGTTCTCTCGCTCTTTGAATCTCTCTCAACACACTTCTGGCTATTTATGTAGTTTGTTGGGGCAGTGACGGCGGTCAGTGCAAAAACAAATAACGCACCGAATGTTTTACCGCAAACTTGAGTAGGTGAAGAGTTTGGCATAGAAAAAAATTAAATAAATAAATAGAAAACAAAAAAAAAACCTACACAAACTTGCCGACCAGCGGAAATTCGTGTTCTTTTATATATGTATGTATTTTTTTTTGTTATTAGCTCACATACATATTGCGGCTGCTTAAACTATACCCATATGTATATATATATATATACATATGTATATATGTATGTATGTAGTGCACTGCAGTCATTGTAGCAGCTGTTTCGCTACTGGTTTTTGTTTTTGTTCGCGAATTTTATGGAGTGTTGAAAACACTTTGTTAAACAAACTCTGCACCTCGACATTGTTTTTGTACCTTATGTATTTCCATGCATTTTCCGTAAATTTATTTTGTTTTAATTTGAACCGGCATTATTTGGTTATTTGTATCTGCATTTGTTTTTGTTTTTCGCTTTTATGTTTCGTTTTTTACTTTGTCTTATTTTAGTTTTTACTTTTTTTTTGCTTGGACACATGAAAACCTTACAATGTAAATACTCAACACTATCACTATTACTCTCCACTTTGTTGTTGGCTTTGCAATTTTTACTTTGTATCTGCTACGTATTTTTTCGGAAGGTTCCGAACTCTGCATAGTTTTTGTTCAAATTTGTTTAGTTACTTTTTGTTACATTCCTCGCTGTTCGTTTGCGAGTTTTGAACTTTTTAATAGAGCAAATTAGTAGACAATCTCGGAACAAAAAGTTGCATAAAAAGTTCTTAATGTTTGAGCGTCATCATTGTTGACTATAATTAGTCTAAGTGTATAAACAAAAGTGAAGGACTCCATTTGGCAGCTTATTGAGTGGGAATTTAAGGAACAAAAGGTTTAAACAATTCATTCGAATTGGTTGAGAAGAGGGGAATGAAGAGAATACCGCACGCTTCGCTTTCTTCATTGTTCGTTTTATCTCCCTCCGAGCTGCCGCCAATAAGTTTCTGTTAGGGTTTTTAAGGAATCGAAATGTAATGAAGGAGTGAACCGCGCGACCTAAGTTACTATAGATCTGTTGTTTTGGCACTCAAAAAACTGATAACCTCCTGTTCCTTTAATCTTTTTGTTATTATTATTCTTATTATTGTTGATGTGATTGTTGTTCTTTTTCCTCTTTTCATTCTTCTTCTTCTTTTTATCTTTTCTTCTTATCTTTTTACTTCCTCATCTTTTCTTTCCTCTTCTTCTCTTTTTTCTTCCTCATCTTTTCTTTACATTTCTTCTCCTTCTTCTTTTTATCTTTTCTTCTTCTTTTTTTACTTCCTCATCTTTTCTTTCCTCTTCTTCTTCCTATTTCTTCTTCTTGTTTTCCGTCTTATTCTACTTCTTTCATTTCTTCTTCCTCGCTTATTTATGTCTCATGTTCTACTTCATATTCTTTTTGTATTTGCTTCTTCCTTTTCTTTTTTTATTCTTCCTCCTTTTTTCTTTCTTCTTCTTCTACTTTTCATGCATACCCTTTTATATTTTTCTTTCTTATTCTTCTTCTTTTTTTCCTCATCATTTTTTCTCCTTCTTTCTTCTTCTTCTTTCTAATTCGTCTTCTTATTTCTTTTATTTATCTTCTCTTTTTTCTTTTTCTAGTACCTATCTTTCTTCTTCTTAATTTCTTTCAATCATTCTCTGACTGACCTTTCCAGTTCTTCATCAGTTTTTGCTTCCATCAGCGAGTCCCATGTCAAAAACCCTCAGAATCATTGATGTCATCCAATGGGAGGTCGGAAAAGAGCTGTTTCGAAGGGTTTGAGCTAGTGGAAAATGGGGGTTAGATAAGTAGGTTTTATAATGTATGCGAAGAGGTGGTACTCTCGAGGCAGCTCTTCGTCTGACAATGAGTGAGGATTTGACTCCAAAAACGCCGTTCACTGGAGCAGAGTTAAATAAGATGTTAGCGAATTCTCTTCCCTTGTAGTCGAGTGCTGCCATCCAGGTGAGCCTAGTTGGTGTCTCGGCTCAAGTAAATATCCGTTGGGGTGTCAGCATTCCAGCAGATATTGCTTGCTCCTTAACTCGTAGCAAAGATGCTTCGCTAAGCAAGTAATGCTCCGACGACATCAGGAGGTTTCCTGCCACGGTCCTAAAGACGGTCCAAGGCTTATTGCTTCTTAATCTTCGTCTAGTTAATCCTCCGCGCCTAAAGTGGAGCAGCGTAGTTTAAGACTAGCCGGCCAATCGTCTTGTATGTTGTCACCAAGATTTATTGCGGCAATTGCAGTCGTAACAGAAGTGAAAGAATGCGGGTTGTCGAATGTGACCGCACAGTTGAAACGCCAAAAATTTTGTGAATTTTTAGCGATCGCTCGAGGTCGTTGTACTTGTAAGCTAACATAACACTACGTTCATATTATACATTATATGTGACAGAACATTATACATATATAAGTGCGTACCGCAATATGTATGTATGTACATACATATGTAAGCTGATAAGTGAAAATTCCAAAATGTATCACATACGAGTAAAATTTCACCGGCAATAAATTTCAAAGTTCAAAGAGTATTTTAGCAACAATGTTGCTGCAACATATTTGCTGAATTTTTATAAAAAAAAAATATATACTCAAAATAAGTATTGACTGTCAAACACCCACTGGGCGCTATTTGCAGCAGAGCATAACACTTTTATTGCCAACAGTTTTATGAGAAAACAAGTGAAATTAAATGAAAATATAGTAAGCAACAACAATGAAGCGGCATTAAATAAATGAAATACAATAGTAATAAAATAAAGTATTGTGCAAATGTATGAATGAATGAATGAATGAATTAAGATGCCGTTGAGCGAGATTGGCTGACTCTCGCTGTTATTGCCAACGGCGCGTCGCCATTTATGCATGCATATATGTAGGTAGATAGTGTAATAAATTTAAATTGTATACAATTTATTTATTTACTTTGCGCATGAAACAAACACATACACTAACAAATTGAAACGTTCTAAAATGTGAATTGTTTAGTTTAATTTACAACGTGTACAACATTTATTTATTTATTTTATTGTGATTGATGTCAGTTAAATTTCATTTAGAGATTTACATGTAATAAATATCGAAATCGATAAATGACGTACAGCGAAGGAGCAGCAGCGTCAGCAGCAGTGTTGCTTTTCATAAATTTTACTTAAGTGATAAAATAAGAAATAATGGCATAAACGCTTAATTATGATAAGCATATAATTATTTAAACAAGCAAAATAAATAAAATATTTATAGTGAAGAAAACAAAAAAAAAAAAACAAAAAAAAAATATATAAAAAAAAAAAAATTTTGGTGAACGCTTTTACGTGCATTAAATTATAATTGGCAGTCAACTGACTAATAAACTAACTAATATGCACTTAATATATATGTGTAATTCGTACGTATATTTCTAATTACGCCTCTGCACGCCGGCATCTGTGAGCAATTAGTGAAATAAAGCAAGCCACAAAACCAAGTTTTGCTGGTTACGTGCAATTAGCAGTATTTTTTTTTTTGTTTTTTTTTTTTTTAATAACGAGACAACAATCTATGTTGGTGAATTTATTGCGGTCGGTACGTGTCAAAAATGAAAATGTTGCTACGTATGCAAGTGTGAAGCATAAAAGTTGTTTGTATGCACGTTTAGTGAAACGTTTGAGTTTTGTTTCAATTATAACCTGATTTATTACAAAAGTTTTACTTCTTTTTATTCGAATTGTGAGCAAAAATGCTTGTGTTTTGCATTAATGAAATGATTTTACATTTTTATATCCGTATATAAATATTTACCTTCATTTATTCATGTAAACACACTTGAGGAAATTTTCGCTTGAACAAAATTGTTTGCATAAAATAACAATAAGTTGTAAATTAAAACAACAAATGTTCTGCTTAATTACGTGCTGTAAGTGTTAATGTTTTGCCTCCGGTGGTTATGACTTATGTGTAAATTTTTACTCACCCTTTTCAGTAAACAAATGCAGCAATTTTAGATTCCAAAATTAAAGCTGTAAAATAAAATAAAAAAAATATATATTTACTTTATTGGAATTTTTTTTTTATTAAATATTACTAAACACTTTGTTATAAAAATATTTCTTATAAACCTTTGAATTGGCTTTTTCTTGCAAACGACCTACAAAAGAACGTCCAGCTGGTTTATTTTTAACTAGCTTATAATTTGCATTCAGATATTTATGCTAAAAACAACTAAAAATGGTTTGTTCCGTATAAGGTGTGACAATTAAGTAATGAGACTGTTTCCATAAAAATCGTATATTTCAAAATTATTTTACAACTTTGCCATCCCCTTCAAATTAGTCCCCTTGGGCAGCTATACAATGATGCCAGCGCGTTGTCCATGCCTCGTAACATTTGGGGAGCGCCTCGACTGGGATGTCCTCAATCGACTCAAAATGGGTTTCTTTGACTACCGTTTTCGTTCTAGAGAACCAAATAAAAGTCGCAGCGTGATATATCGCGCGAATAAGGCAGTTCTTGCAACACGGCGATCCCTTTAAAGGCCAAATACTGCGACACGCTGAGGGCGGTGTGACACTGCGCATTGTCGTGATGAGGGATCTAGTTACGAGCGATGTCTGGGCGCACACTATTGACACGTTTTCGCAATCTTTCGAGTTCTTGGTGATAGTAGACTTGATTTACGGTTTGCCCCGGTGGAGGAAATTCTTTGTGGACGATTGCACGCCTGTCAAAAAAGGCAAAAATCATCGTTTTCACCTACGACTTGCTCATACGAGCTTTTTTCGGGCGGCGAGCGTACGAAGACAACCATTGTGAGCTTTAGCATTTGGTTTCCGGGTCGCACTATGCGCTTTTACGATTTTAGCATACGTTTACGAAGCTGTTTCGCCTGATTGGTCCAAAATATTATAGCGTTGCTCTTGATTTTGTTAGTCCATTCTTATGGCGAGCACCACGAACAAACGTTTACTCAATACTACATAGCACGCGAACTAAACAAGCTAGAGCGATGGCAAAAATATCAATGGAGAGATCACTTCCTGGTACACTTTCATAATAATTATTTTCCATGCGCCCGATCGATTTTTATTTATTCGACTGTATGCGAGCAAATTTTGCAGTCGATTTTTTATATTTAATATCTAAGCGCAAACTTCTATTTGATTTCATTTTTCACGTAGTTGGCAACGCAGCCGTCATTTAGTTCGGCTAGCCCCATTATGAATTTGTGTTGTTGAAATAAAGAGCTTTTGCATAAGAATCATTAAATATATACAAATCTTTCGTTAATTTTGTGGCATTTTATTTAATACCCACAATTAATCCTCTGCGAAGATCAAAGATTCCATTGAAAATATAGCAATTTAATATACTAATTTAGTTATCAGTACAGTTGCGTCAACGCCTATACATCTTTTGTGTCCTTCGTCCATCATTACACACGTAAATACATACATAAATATCTTAAACCTTTTGGGTAAGAGATGAAGACAAAATCCGGGTTGTCGTTCCCAAAAATAAAACGATAATAGAGTTGGTTTTAAATTGATTACATATGTTTTACAACGAAAACGTTCTTTTTCAGTAGAGGAGTAGATGTTGTATAATATCTTCCCAGGGAGAGAGTAAGTCCCCGGCGTCTATAAAATGGTGTCTGCAGTTCGTAGTAGTTCCTTCTCATCTCTTAATACTGCATATGTAGGTAAAATCAGAGATTACTAGCTAACCTGACCTTCTGAGAGGTGAATTAATTCCTCGACGATCGTTAAAAGGTCGATCTATTTTATATAGGAAAGGAACTAAATTTTCGCCGCCTACTGGTATCTGAAAGATGAGAGCAAAATCTGGACCTTTTGTGCGGCAGCTGATAAAACGTGAAGTACATGTAAGTAGCTTGTTTTCTTTAAGAAGTAGGTCCATCTCTATCTGTTGTCGTTGTTTTTGTAACCGCAAAATTATTCCTCAAAGTACTTTTTGGGGAATATTGCGGGAGTGACAGTCCTTGGCCGGATAAAAATCTGGGTCGTTCCGGTATAAAGACCCGACTGTCGCTTAGTCGCCTCTTACGACAGGCATGACTTACCACGGGTAAATTCTTGAACCCCTAACCCACAGAGGAGTTGAGAGAATATTTTGTGAAATAGCAAATCAAGGAAACAAGTTATTCATCGTTTTCATACTCGCCTCAATAAACTTAAATACTACTAGCGAAAAAATTGTTCAATTGAATTAATTTTTAAAATTGTATCGAAATTTTTACGCGAATATTTGATTAGTAAAAATATACAATAATATTATTGTGCGATATTTTTTTTATTATATTTCGCAAATTATTAAAAAAAAAATGGCGAACGCGTGCCCAACGTGTGGCAGTTGAACTCCAAAATAAAAGTAAAACAACATAAAATAATAATAAATGCATAAATATTAATTTTCTTTAATTTTATCGTACTTTGGAATTTTTTTAGGATTTGCTTGAAACAAAACAAAACAACCCCGAGGTCAACAGTTGATTTGGCAAACTCATTTGCATAACGTGAAATTTGCATATTCAACGATAAACAATAATTGTTATATGTGTGTTTTTGACGTTTGAATGTAAATTTAATGTAACAACAAATAATTCTATAAATATTACGAAGCGCATGCGCGTGGAAATTACAGAAATATAATATATAAAATATAACAAAAAAGGTAGCAAAGTGGTGCGTACATTTACCTGCATTAGAAAGTCGCAGGAGTGCATTCATTTGTATGTAATTACGGTTGTATGTGTAAAAAGTCAGACAAATAAATATGCTCCACTTACCGAAGTGAGAGAACAAATTTAAACTGGTTTTCTCTGACGGACTGAGTGTCAGATACGTATATTCCACTTCTGTTATTTACACTGAACTGTAGAGACTTGTGTTCATTAACCGCCTCCTTGCGCACAACACATATGCTAATATTTTTTATTTTTTGTATGCTAAATATTTTTTATCTAACACGCTTATTTTCGTTGTTAGTATTTTTTTCTAATTTTTTATTATTAATTTTTTTTTTGTTACAGCCAACGATGTTTACCTTGATTGGTATTTCGCCTTTCAATTTTCAAGCATTTTTTTTTTCAATTTTCCACACGGTCACGATAATTTCGTAGAATTCACACATTTACGCTATTACTGCTGCTGATTTTCACTTTTTTACAGCCACAACGGGTGTCAATTGTTATTGACAATATTTATGTATTTTTCTATGCAATTGCCTGGCAATTACTTTATATATATGTATGTATGTACATATTTTTTATCTCTTCGCAATAACTTTTGGCAATAAACTTTATACTTCTTTGTGCTCACCACGCTGGAGGTGTGAATTTTTTCGAAAATATTTTTATGTACCTCTTGTATGTGTGTGTGTGCGTGTGTTTAATTTGCTTATTAATATCATTTTCGTTTATTTATTTTTTCTTTTTTTCCTACTCATATTTATCTAATTAATTTCGTGCCATTATTTAATTTGTCATGCCATAATTGGCATGTGAGTTATTAAGTCATATGTCTGAATGATATACAATTATGTACATACATATATGTATACATATTCACATATACTGCTTGTAAAAATAAATATTTAAATAAGCATAATAATTTAATAAGCGGCTAAAGCAACAGTCAGATGTCAGTTAGTTAAACAATCGGATTGGCCAATAAATAAAAAAGGGAGCATACAAAGTCGCTGACTGTATTGTATTACCAGCGGACGGATAAACGCAGTCAAGCGTGTCGCAGAAAAATGTCAAGTGACAGCAAAGGGGTGATCAACGAGTGTAAGAGGTTACTTGTATTTTTTCTTCTTCTTGCTTTTTTAACAGCTGTTTTGTCCATTCCTTTGGAGTTCGACTTCTTCTTTATTGACAAGTCCGGCGTAGCCAGTCGGAGACACTAAGTGAAGCCAGTTACGTTTGCAACTGACCATTTCAACGTAGCGAAGATGTTATTCTTCCTTAACTTTCACCGGGGGACCATATCGAATACTTGAGTTCCTTACGGGTAACATGATCTAACCAACATATCGACTGTTGTTGTTATTAAAGCGGTTTGCGGTGTTATTGGGAGCAGGCAAGATCTGAAGGTTCAGGAAACGAATTCGGTCTCTGTCTGCAATAGGTGGCGGTTTGACTCGGAGACCGCCATTTACTGAATGGGAGTTTAGGAAGGTGTTGACAGACACTCGGTGAATGGCGTTTAGGTCAACAGGAAGCATATCGACTGTCTCTCGATACGCTGTACTATGTCAATTATGGCGTATACCTTCGTACAGTTCATCATTCTTTCGCCTACGGTAATTACAGTATATATGTATATACTGTTTCCAGGCGCTCTTTGTTTCCTCAACCAATGAGCAGTAAGCAAAGCAGATATTATACTCCAGCATTAAGATAAAAAACCACACATTTAAAATTACACCGATAAGCTGCAATTAGTTTGTTGGTAGCTCGTTCCTCTTTGTTATGAATAGAGCAGTACACACTCAGATTCCAATCGTCGGGTATGCTTTCGTCCGACAATATACTGCTCAGACATTCGCTTCCATCGATTTTTTATTAGAATTGCGATTGATAATCCACGCTCCCCAACTTCGAGCATTGTACTTTCACTCCCAATCAGCAAGTTGGAGAAGAGCTCTTTTAATAAACTCAGCTTGATATGGATCATCCGATACTTGGAAACCTCTTAATTCATTCCATCCTTTCATAGAATTTTCGAGCATTACTGCAGTGGATCAAATTCTTCACCTCTTTGGCCTCTTCTTCTTTCTGTCTGCAAATGTGCTTTGCCTTTCTCTCCTGCTATTGCCAACTAGCCCACGTGGCATTGACATAACAGACATTTTTCCTCACACTGCAGATCACCACTTCTGATTGCACAAGCTCTTTTGCACAGCCAGATATCGCTGACAAAAAACATCAATTCAGAAACAATAAATTTTATTACTGTATTATAAATATTTCTGCTTCAACTCGCGTACTTTTTGAACA